TGTGGACAGTTGACAACTTCACCAAATGTTTGGAGTATGCCATAGCAGACATTTTCGTTATAGCTTCACAACCTGCTGAAGCTTGAAATAGGTCGGTTAGTTTCTCCCTTCTCTTGCATGGTTATCATTCAATGTTTTAGCCTCGGCTGGGCTGCAAAACACCCGATCCAAGTCTCAACATATTCTAGTCAATCCAAGCGACTTAATTATCCTATCGGCGACACCGTAAGATTAATAGTCAATAAAATTTCAGAGTTCAACCATCCCTAAACAGGAAACAAGGAAAAAAAAAACTATTCCTGTTCCAAACACCAGAAAAGCTTGTCAACTAGACGATAGTCGGACCTATATCCTCCTAGTGAGAAAAAATTAAAAAAACAAAAAAAACAAGGACACATGGCACAGTGGATAAAGGCGTTGGTTAGATCCAGTGACAGGACCCAAAGAGTGTGAGTTCAATACCCGGTTAAGGCAGTGGAGAACTTTCAGAGGGAAATTAACAGGAGATAACTGATAATTGATATCCATTAAAACATGGCACGTGGAACTAGAACAATCTACCCCAGTGAGCTAAATAAAGGGCTCAGTTCGACATTCCAACCACCTGAAGAAGGCCGGAGCGTACAACGGCCGAAACGTTGTGATAAACATGGCAACAAAGATGAGGACAATAGTTCGAATGATGTAAATAATGTACATAATGCCTCATCTCAGAAATATGGACAGGTATATATATAAAAAAAGAAAGATTAAATAAAACTACAAAAGTAAAAGCACTCTTAAATAGATGTGCTAGAATTAGCACAGAAAAAATCAATTTAAGTAAATTCAATAAAATTTTCGTCTTTGGCACGAAACTTTGTTTCTCGTAGAACAGTAGACATGTAACTCATTATTCTAGAGAATAAAAGGTGATGTGGCTCTGCTAATATTGTTTATATAATTGGATATTTTACTAAACAAATCATGATTTGATTGGAATTTATTTTACTATGTCCTTCAACTTAAACAATATTTTACTGTGTCCCGTGATGATTCTTTCTCGTGTAAGCGGCGTATGTTAATGTATCTTCCGAGTCGTTCTTGAATGAAGTTAATTACATCGCATCTTGTGAATTTTTCTTTAACTAAGTTCCATTTTATTCTGCTTTTGTTTTCTCAATCAGTGTCTAATTTACTGGGTATTGTGAAAGTTTATTTCGACTGGGACTTAATTTGCCTCAACCCGATAATCATTCTTCGATTAAGATTTACTCAACTGTGTCTTCTGAATGTATATCTCAGCTACCGTTTCCATTATGGACTCAAGGTTTTCCAACGTCTTGACTTTATTTCGCTCAAGTCTTTAAAACGATCCTCAAGTGGAAACTCACTTTACTCTCCCTTATGTATTTATCTCCAAAAAGAGGTTAAATAGATTCCGTCATATGAATTCTAAGTGTCCTGAGATTTATTAAACTGTTTAATCGGGACCATTCCTAGACTAAACTGAGTGTAACAGAAAAAAAAAATTATAGTCCTACGTAGCAATGGCCTAGATGACTAACCCTTTGGTTTGTTAATTTGGTGAAGTAGTGGTTGTGAGATCAATCTCTAGGACAGGCAGTGTGTTCTCTCAATAACTGAACAAAAAGTACTAAATAAAATAATAACTAAACGATATCTCTACACGTAAGCAGTAGAACGAGAAGAATCTATACCCGAAGATTATATAATGAGATCACTTTGGAATTCGCTTTAGGTTATACAGATCGATATACAATTGAGGAAGGGAGGTGGGCACAACGGTCGAAACGTTGTGATAACAACAATAAAGATGAGGACAATAGTCCGAATAAAAATAATATGAATACTATTAATCTGATAATTTTTCGTTTTGTGGACCAACAAGGAATCATACACAGTTGCTAAGTATATGATTGGAATATATTCACATAAATATGCTATTGCACAGCGTTGGTAGCGTACACAGTGGATTAAATGAAAATGGTTTTCTGCTCAATTATACCGTAAGGCAGCGTGCAGCAAGAATATTACAGACAAAAGTCTTGGAGTTAGTCTGGTCTTTTCTGACACATACGCCATATGGAACTGATGTCACACCAAACAATTCTTAACTTTTTTCGATCGCTGCTAAAGGCTTTCATGTGGAATACTATCTGTAATGAAAAACTAGATTCATGAGTTTATCGGAAATTGTTAACATCAAAACTTAATTTACTCGAAAGAGCTGCCAGATATGTGGCAATATACCATTGTAATGGATTGATCTATTTTCAACCCTTTTCAGGTTAATTAATGCCATAAAATATTTTTATATTTTAAGATTTTTTCAGATAATAATGTTTTAGTGATACAAATTTTACTAATTAACCCATAGCTGGGGGAGAGGAGGTGCATTCAGCATAAGTGAATATAACGAACCCAACGGGAATTGACACTTGGCTCACAGATTAAAAATTTCGAGCCATTATTTCGAAACTAACCGCACCTCCATGATTTACAACACCTGCTATTCCTAAGTGTTCACCCATCTAGGTACTGCTCAGAGTTGACATAGCTTAACTTCGGTGATCGTACGGTAACCGAAGTTTCACTGAGATAAAACCGTAAAAACGAATTGTTACCGTCTTATATAATAAGCTTTCTTAGTTTTGAAGCAATACGCCGATAGCCATTAAGACCACCTGGAATCAGATATATCCGAATATCAACATTATTTTAATCAGTCCGAATTGTGTATGAAAATGAAATTATTCATTTTATCACCATTTTTTAAAACCTAAAATCATTTGATCCATGCATTCATTTTAGAGAACTTATTACCCCTAGTTAACCTATACCAAGTTAGCAATACTCAGGAACGTATTTGTACTGTTTTTGATTTTAATTTTAAAACATTTATTTTTTCATATATCATACAATCGATATTTTAATACCTATTAAATGAACTCTCCAATACAGCTTAACAACAAACGCTTTTCATTCTCTAAACATATCTATACTGATAAAGTGCTTATAGTTCGCGCTACGCAGGTTGGTCTAAATGATCAGAACTACTGGTATAGCTTAAAGAAACAGCACTTAGATTTTTTTAAGAAATATCTTTGAATTCACGTCACAGGACTTCAAAACCTCACTTTAACTCTGATACGGACTATACCGGTCAAAAGAACGACCAGGGTCGAAAGTTCGATTTGGGCCGAAATTCCAATTCAAGTCCTTCAAATCACGAATAAAACTCCCGAAAACTCTCACTGTAGCCATGATCCATTGGCATTTTGAAGAAATAAAATTGAATTCACAATGTTTTGGCGATATTTTAAACTGAAATTAAAACAAAACTTTTTAAATCCTCAAAGTTTTTTCTGATACTTTCAAGCAATATATATATATAAAATAAATTAACATTTTAAATCATTAATTTTTTTTTCAGTTATTTTAAAATTTGAATTTTTAAATGTTCCTACTAATCCTGACACTGAATTCGCCGTTTAATTATTTAAACGACCGCAAATGTTATTTTCCGTGGTCAGACGTTTTTTATTTAGCATCCATATATATATATATATATATATATATATATATATATATATATATATATATTATACAGTCAATTAACCGTCATCGATCGAGAAGTCCTACTAAAGAAAAAAGTGTCTACCGACAGGAGTCAAACTTGTACCCGTCTTTATTTATCCATCATGGAAGGCGCATCTATAACTGAAGCGTACTTTTACCAAATTAACCAAGGGAAGACCATTTTGATAAAGCAAAATTTAATTACCAAAGGAAACCATATATAGTGTCGGGTTTCTAAGGTGCGATGGGAGAATTGTCGCAGTTTTATGTTTTTTGTATTTCACGCATGCGCCTTGTATTTTTTTATCAACTATACAGTACAGTAGGTTCAAATGGCCACCGACTGTGAGAAATGGAGCACCATAATGCCATTCACTCAGCCAGAAGTTTGGAAACGGTATCCTGTACCGCTTGGCATTCGCAACGGAAGGTGCAATAAGAACATTTCAGAGTATTTCGCGTCAATCTGCAGATAGTGCAAAGTATTCGGAAAGAGTTGGATGAGTTTAATGATGATTACGGTGATACGGCAGCTGAGAAAACTCAGTTTAATCGTTGTGATAAGAAAAGAACTCCCACATTTGTTGGTGGGAGCTTCAGACACAACACGGGGGCCTACATCAAGTGCCTTGAGGAGATAGTGCTGACCTGGATCAAGAGGGTAACTGCTGGAAGATTCTATTTTTGACAACAGGATTCTGCACCACGCAACACAAGCAGAATAACACAGTCATGGCTGTCAGACAATTACACCTAACTCCCCTAACTGCAACCTCCTTGATTATTACGTGTGGAGCGCAGTTGAGCAAGAGACTAACAAATCTTCTTGTAAAAATAAAGATGAACTGTAGGTAAGTGTTGCGGACCCGGTAGCGTGCAGTGCTGGTTTATTAAAAAGGTGGCCTTGTGTCAGACACTACACAAAACCACCGAATCCACAAGCAAAGTAGAAATATATTGCGTGAGTGAACATAGTGAGGAAAAGGGGTCATTCAACAAGTGCATAAATAATGATACGAGGAGATAGCCTGGAATTAAATGACAAAAGGCGTCTGGTTGAAAAACATATATGAAATTTTATTATATTTAAACAAGTAAGTTGTCTCGTTAGTTGAGACCATTAGTTCCACGCCAAAACAGAAAACCAAGATGGCCAAGACGGGAAAAAGTTTCATCAGAAAGAAAGTTCTGGAAAAATGACTTGTTAAACGAAAAGGTGTATGTGTACACAAATAGGAAAAGTACTCACTGTGTAGTTTGATAGTGTGAGTGTATGTAATATTTTTTAGGTACTGGTTCAAAGTAGTTAGAATATTCGAAAGTTGTTCGCATCAAGACAAGTTGTCCTGGAAAAATATATACCGACGACTGTGTCGCGGATCTCCACGTTTTCCAAGCGAAAACGGAGAAGGTTCGACCTGCGGGTTACATCAAGACGAGAATGAGTCTTGGGAAAGTGTAAGGTCGACATGTTGAAATTTTGGTAGTTAGTAATAAGATATTCCGGTCCGCGTATGGGTTAAGGGCACGGAATAAATGAGTTGTCCGTTCAGCTTGAAAGTCGGGAAGCAACTGAGTTGGAAACGCTGGACGTGTGTGACGTCAAGAAACGCGCGGGAAAAATTCAAAATCCGTCCTAGAAAGCTATCAGGAGTAGCAAGAAAAAGGATGGCTACTGCTATGTCTAATTGAACGAGAGAGAAAGGGGTGCAAACCGCGCGTGTGCACACATGCACAAGTGTGGTAGGAAGGGAGGAAAACTCACGCGCGCGTAAAATTTAGGTGGAATTACTGTGTTATTCCACATAAGGATTATGACAGTATTCACCAAATTAAATAAGGAGGCTGTCCAGAAGATTTGATGGAGTTTCCCACGTAGTCGGGAGGACATGTATGATGCCAATGGCGATTTTATTGAATACATTTACTCTTTAGGGTTGTAAGATATTTCTGTGCAATTTTGGTAAATATATCTGTTAAAATGAGATGGCAGTATTATCTACATTTTTTTGTGTAATATAGACGAAAATTTATCCATCGCAACCTGTATGTCTATTGGCTTCAATATCGAACCAGTAACGTGTTATAAATGGGTCACCCTTTTTATCCTAATAAACCAGTCTTCATCGATACAATAAACATGACCTGGTCATTTTTGTGATGGAACATCTGTTAAAATCCGAAAAACAAAACAAAAACATTATGTTCTCTGAAAAATAACTGCTTGCTGTTAGTAATATTCACCATGCTTCAACGTCTGCTGAACTCAAACCTTCTTTTTTCTCCCTGCCCTCCTCAACCTGTATATTTCTCAACGCACACATACATACATACATACATACATACATACATACATACATACTTGTAGAAACGTCTCCCATTCCAAAATATACACCTTGAAAGCCATTCTATGAAAGAATCTGCAGAGATGTCGCGACTTTGAATCCCGGCGAGATGAACTTTATTCACCTGTAAATATATTATCACTGTCTTCAACATTCATCTATTCCTTTTTTTTGTTATCATCATTCGACTAATATCAGAAAGTCTTATATATATTCTTTCAGTCTTATATGTGTTATTTTAAATTCTGTTTTCCCCTTTTTTTATAGCCATCTGTATCAGTATTTTAATCAAAATCGCCCTAGACCTTCTTTTTTTTTGTCACTACCAGTTTTTGTTAACCTAATTAAATTATGCAAAGATTGAATTTCAGCCTTTCTTTTATTTTGAATTTGTTTATTTTCATTTCTTTGTTACACCGTCACATAACGGAAACGAATTAATTTTACTGATACGAACAAAAAAATCAGACTCAAACAAGTGTATTCACTAAAATAATATTTATAGCAAAAAGACTAATATAATTTATATTAATATAAATAATATATGATTATAATATTTATTTAAATATTATACATGATAAAAATGCAGCTTTAATGTATACTATTCATTTAGACAAAGAAAAATTACTGGACTGTTATGTAATATCTGCCCACCTAAATGTCAGTAAATACTAGATAATATGTTTATACTCTAACTTAAAGATATATAGTAATTCTTTTATATATATATATATATATATATATATATATATATATACTAGCGGCATGGCCTGGCGTTGCCCGTGCTTGATTCAAAATCATTACGACATATACAGCAATCGCTATCACATGACTTAAAATATTTTTGCCCTTCCTTGCCTTTAAAGGAGTGCCCTTTGCCGTGCTGATGTTGCTACATGCCTTACTTCTTGCCTCTCTCACACTGCGAATTTTTTCTAAGCTCTATACTAAACATTAAATCTGTTACGAAAAAAGAACTAAACAAAATGAACACAAAACGATCAGCTTTAAAAAAGGACGCGTAACTGCAAAAACCGAATGAAAAAAGAATGTTAACCACAAATACTTTTTCACACCCAACCAAGTTCTGCGGAATCAGAATCAACGTTGAGTTTAAGCAAGCGAATGAGCCAATTGGAGTAAAAAGTGCCATGCAGATTAAAATTTTTCCCACTTGTGACGAATGCAGCTATCGATTTTTTGGGGGGGATGCTAGCATGCTAGTTAACATTCATGTCAGTAAGCTGTTGGCTCTCACACTGACCAATAGAATCTTCTTGCCTATTCGTGGCAGCCAGCTGTAGGCTCTCAATCTAGCCAGTAGAAAATGGCCGCAAACTACATGAAAATTGCCGTAGAAGCATGAAAAAATCGATTATTTCCACTATCGATGGGAGTTGGGAAATGCAAAGTTGGTCTTGGCTCTTCCACTCACTTGGAGCATGTGCATATAAATTGTGGTGCAAATCCGTCGAAAATTGCGGCCGTGCATCCGTTACACACACACACACACACACACACATCCTGCCATATATATATATATATATATATATATATATATATATAATGCTTATATGATATGTTTATAGATATATAGACATTATATATAAACTCAATCTATGAGAATAAATCAATTATAGAAATAAAGATATTAACTTTATATATATTGAAGAA